TCCATAATAATTGCATAATAATATAAAAATTCCTGTGTAAAAATAATAATTTCTCCATAATAAAATATTCTTCCATTCATAATGGGGCTTTTGTGTATTTTTACAAAAGTTGGGGTTTTATTCATAATAAACCTAGATGCATGTTTGGCATGAAGAAAATGGAATGATTGTTGAATCATTGATGAACATGGGACCTAAGGGTTGAAATGGTAATTATGGAAAATGGCCTAATTACATTGTTTAATTAATTGGGATAATTAATTGGTGAGAAATGAGGAAATGAAATGTTGATTGAATATCCATTTGTGCATTTATTTTCTGTTTTTAGAAATAATTGCTTTGGGCTATCGGTGGAGGATAGTCGAGATTGTTGTAGGTTCATCCCACGTTGTTGAATCTTTTTCAGGTGTTGAGCAGGGTGTGCTACAAGATTTGGATCTTCTTATTTGTTGGCCACGGGGCCTCAGTTATGTTGGCGGAATGCCATTGTTGTAAAGGGTTACACCCTTCTTCTTGTACTTTTAATGATGTAAGCCCAAGGGCAATTTATTAAGTTGGTTCATGTAATATTTACTTTGCATACGAATGAGAGTATTGTTAATCACTTCTACGGATTGAATGTATGAGTTTATTTCCGCATGTTATCTCTGAAATTGAATTAAGTTAAAGAATTTGGTAATGACTCCAAGTAATAAAAAGTGGGGCGTGACAGTTCCTCCATTTTTTCCAAATCAGTCTGCCTTAATGTTTTTTAGCACAGTTCTTGGAAGAAGTTGCCCAACTCAAATAGTGTTGTACAGATCTCCTTGTTCACAAAACCACGCATGCCAATTGGTAGAAGTCGCTGAAGCAGGACATGACAATCATGGCTTTTCATGCCCGATAATCTTCCATTTTTAGAAGTCACACATCTTGAGATGTTTGCTGCATAGCTATCTGGATAACTAATAGACTTCAAGAATTCACAAAAACCATCTATTTGTCGAGAATCCAATGTGTAGGCTGCCCAAGGCTTTACAACGGATCCGTTATCTTTCCTCTGTAGATGCAATTCTTGCCTTATGCCCATTTCTTGCAAATCATCACGTGCTTTGTGCGTGTCCTTGTTTTTCCCATCTATGGCCAACATCGTCCCGTAAAAGTTTTCACAAATATTCTTCTCAATGTGCATGACATCAAGATTGTGTCGGAGGTTTAATTTCTTCCAATACGGTAGCTCCCACATTATGCTTTTCTTTGTCCAATTCAATTCTTCAGACTCTCGTGGTCTTTTCTTGTTGGTAGGATCCTTTCCAAACTTGACTTCCCACAATTGATCCAATTGAGCCATTACTTTTTCCACCGGTAAATCCAAGGATTTCTTTCTAAGCTTAGTTAAACCATTAAACTTCTTATCTTTCCTCCAAAGGTGGTTATCAGGCAAGTAAGCTCGATGACCCACCCACCCAATCTTACTGATCAACCCGCGTGACAATGGATTATCATTACAAGGAGGGCAAGACAAATAACCTTTAGTTCTCCATCCGGATAAGTCACCATATGCAGGGAAGTCATTTATGGCCCACATTACAGCTGCATGCATCCGGAAGGTCTGTTTAGTGGAGGCATCGTAAGTCATCATGCCATTCTCCCACAACTCCTCCAACTCATCAATCAATGGCCTTAGGTAGACATCAATATCAGTCCCTGGTTGATTATGTCCAGGAATAGGACATCATGAAAAATGGGGCCTTCATACATCTCCAAGGTGGGAGGTTATAAGGCATGAGTATGACAGGCCACATGCTATAGGAAGTGCTCATGTTCCCAAAAGGGTTAAACCCATCAGTGGCTAGGCCCAACCTAACATTGCAAGTCTCCAGGGAAACTCTGGATAATGCAAATCAAATTCCTTCCACTCTTTACAATCAGCCGGATGCCCCCTACACCATCGTCAACACGCTTATCACTATGCCATCTCATATCTTTAGCCGTCTTCCTAGACATGTACAATATTCTCAACCTAGGTGTCAATGGGAAGTAACACAATATCTTGTGAGGGATCTTCTTATCCTTGCTATCATTTACTTTGTACCTAGATGCTTGACATGTGGGAGATTTTTCCAAGCGAGCATTCTCCTTCCAGAATAGTACACAATCATGTTTACATGCATCGATGAGCTCGTATCCCAAGCCCAAGTCACGTAGTAACTTCTTGCACTCATAAATTGACCCTGACACCACATGGCCCTCTGGTAGGAATCATCTTTGTGTCTCCAAAACCTTGTCAAAAGACTTATTGCTCCACCTATTTTCTATCTTCACATGTAGCATCTGAATAACGAATGATAACAGAGTATTTGAGTCTTTGCAACCTGGGTACTAGCGACATTGGGAAGCAACTAACAATTTATCAAAATGTCGTACATCCTCACTTTCTAGAGTATCACCCTCCATAAAATTCCCCCTCTGATAGTCCTTTATCAGGTCATCATATTCATCTTGATCCTCATCATTTTCACCATTGCTTTCGTCGAGGTTATTATGTTCTGGAAGTTCACCGTGTTCTAACCAAGTGGTGTATGATGCTATCATACTTATAAGCCAATGAGCCTTCACAATATCATACTCCTGCTTATAAAAGTTACAACAATTGATGCATGGGCACTTAATCTCCCTAGCCTCACCCAAATGAACCTTTGCAAATTCAATAAATGAGTTCACCCCATCTACATATGGCTGACTAAATCTGTCAGAAATTAACATCCAACTCATGTCCATATCTGATCATAAGATAGTAGTTAATACCAATAGGACACAACCTTTATTTATTTATTTATTTATTTATTATTATTATTATTATTATTATTATTATTATTATTATTATTATTATTATTTACTTTTTGCTCCCTTCCTCCCTTTCTACAATGGTTCTCTAAAACAAATTCAATTATGGCAAAGGAAGTACAAACCAATAGATGACTATATTTTATTTCTCTTCAACGGTAAGTGATCTAAGAGTTTTCAATTTTTATATTCGTAATGACTAAGATTTTGTTTATTTCCTTTTTGTTTTTGGGTATAAATTTTGTTTATTTTTATTAATTGTGTTCTCAATTTTTTTATTCATTGTGTTTTCATTTTTTTTTTCTTTCTATCTTTCTTTAAAACATAGGCAAACTGATTTTCAATTTCCAAATTGTTTCCAAATTCGATAGTATTTTACACTTTAAAAAAAAAAATTGCACACACAAAAAAACAATGTGGATGCATTAAAAAAAATGAATATATAAATTAAAAAGAACAAATTGAATGAGAATGGATTAAAATTTTTAACAATTGAAAAGTAGTTTTCCTTAGTTCAATTTTTATCAACCCAGTTACATAATCTTTTTTCTATTATCAACTCAATTACATAAATTTTTTTCTAAATTTGCACATGCATTGCGTATGCCTCGACCGCTAGTTAAAATTCTATTATATCTGCATATATTATGTATTAAGTTAAGTGTTTTTTACATTTATCAACAAAAAAACAAAAAAAAAAATATTTTTCATGTTACATTCCTAAACTTAGTCATGAATTGGATAAGTGCCAGAAGGAAGTGAAATAGCAATTGCAAGCCTAAGCCTATGTTGTGGACAAAAAAACGAAACCTTAACAAAGTTTAACAAACAACTAAAAGAAGGATAGAAAAAGTTCAAGAAGGATAGAAAAAGAAAGGTATATAGTAGGCATATGTGCTGTTTCTCTATTGATATATGAAACTCCATGATTCCAATAATATCTACATAAAACTGTACTACAAATAGCTTATGCATTTTTCCTACAATAATATAAATAACTTGATAAAACTGTACTACAAATATCTCAAGGACAAATGTGCAAGCTCCTATTCTTTCATATATTTCCTGGGCAACTAACATAAAACGTTTTAGCAAGTCTCCAATCAAGAGAAGCAGGTGACTTGTCAACAGGTTTCCAACACCCAAACTACCAATCAAGAGAGGCATCTAACATTTAACACAATATCAAGCCCACAATACCTTGTCTCCTAACCACGGTATTGACAGAACTTTTTCCTATATAACAAGTGGTAGAGCCAGCCTTTAAACTTTTACCCTTTTCAATAAGCACCAGCATCACAAACACAAATGTTAGGCTTATAAATCTTAGGCTTCACAATCTCACAAGATGCCATGCTAAACAAGATGTGGTCAATCTCTTTTGGAACTTGACCTCACAAGCATCCAAAAGAAATTTTAGACTTCTTAAAATCTAACACAAATACTAGTATCTCATAGTTGCCAAATCCTTATGACGTAGCAATTATTAGGTCCTCAGCTAAAGCAAGCTGTGGAGAGAGCAACATATACGTAGCCTTATTCCCATTTGTGGATAGCTGTCAATCAACCTACCAGTTAAAAAATAGCTGACTAATTGTTCAAGTACAACCAAAACTTCAATGAGATATCTACAGCTCCAAATGTACAAAATTTACCTCAAAATGTAGGGTTAATTGCATACTAAAAGTAAAATGTATAAAAGCAATTAATCATCAATGTTAAAATCTCAAACAAGTGTACTAATCAGTTAATTTAAAAATAAATAAATAAAGGTTAACAAGATACTCCTGCCAGTGTACAAACTTTGCATGAAATAGATAACATGCAAAACCAAAACGTAAGCTAAGTAGAAAATCCAATATGCAACTAGGGGTAACATCAGATTGAATTATTAATAATGCCATACCAAAATCTTTTCTTGCCTGTTCTGTTTTCCCTTGTTCTTGTAGCCTCATGTATCTTTCATGAGCTTTTTGTTTCTCTATCTCTTCTCTGTGAACAAACAAATAAAAAATTAAAAAAAAAATAGACACAAATCTAAAAAGTCAAAAGGTCATATACATGATAGCCATGCAATCCAAAATTATTGTGTTATTTTGATGGGATATGAGCAGTTTACTTTCATACTTTTGAGAATGAGTATAAAAGAAAAAGTTCAAAGGTCTAATAATTTAGGGTAAATTACACTCACCTCCCATGAGGTTTCTGATAAATACAAGGATCTCCCCTGTAGTTGTAATAATTACAGAAACATCCCCTACTTTAACTAACAATATTAAGATTTCCTCATTTTTTAACTGTCGTTCATGCAACTAACAGAAGTTGCTGATGTCATCAAAAATAAATACGGATTTATAATGCCCTCAATTGTCTTGAATCTGTAACGAGTTGAATTAAATTGAATTTTTTGTCCTTATTATTATTGTTGTGGTGTCGTGAACCATTCTATTTAAATTGGTGAAAATAAGTTGAATTACTTCTTGATTTTGACTTCGTAAGGCCCGCTTAGCAAAATTATTTTTTTTAGTTTTAGTTATAGTGATTCTTGGGTCTTAAGTAATAAATGAGATATAAATTCAATTTTTGGGTTTTATTTGATTAGCCCATACTCAATCATTTTGATTCATATTTAATTATGTGAATGTTGGGGACCACCTTAAGTCTTTTAAAGTTAATTTATATTTGAATCTCAGTTGGGGATTTATTTTAAATTATTAACTTCATTCATTTTGGACCCAATTGATTGAATCGTGACCCTTTAGTAACCATATAATATTGTTGTTGTTGTTTTATTATTATTATTATTTGATTACCATAAAAGAGTTGTGAATATTTATGGTGTGCACCATTAAACGAAATATATTTTGTGTTGAGAAAATAATTATATCATTTTATTTCTTATGTTACAAAATATTATAATGTTCCTAAAATATACCTTTAGTTATATATATATTTATATATACACGGGTGTACATTGATTTGAAGGAAAAAAAAAATAAAAAAATAAAAATAAAATGTGAGGATGCAGCAAGCCCACGTGAGGAGGAAGGGGCTGCCCCCAATCCCAATTAACTTCACTTTCACTTCTTTAATTCTTCCTTTCAATTGCATAGCTCACTTCCTCTCTCTCTCGGCTCTCGGCTCTCTCTCTCTGATTTTTTTTTGTTACTTCTATCATATAAAATCTTTGATCTACCAAAATCTATTAGGTTTTAGACCATAGTTCTTAAGATTGAAGTGAAGAGCTTGGTGAGAGCTATGTTTTGATAGGTGGAGATCGAAATCCAACAAAGTTGAAAATTGGGGTTTTGCTTGTTTCCTCTTCTAGCTTGAGGTAGGGATTTTTCCTACACTTCTTTATGCACTTTTACCTGATTATAGGGAGCTTAGAGCTGTATATAATTTAATTAGAATTTTAGAAAAATTTGTGATTTATTTGCTTAAAAGAGAAATTTTGAGAAAAATAAAAAGTTGATGCCCAAATTGCGAAAGTGTAAACTTTGAATATGTTTGTAAGGTTATGAAAGAGTTATGTTTTAAATTTGAACAAAAACGGACTTCAATTCAATTGGTTTTGAAATTTTTACCGGTTTGTGACTAAAAGAGCATTTTTAAAGAAAACAAAGGAATTACGTTTAACTTTTGAGGTTTTCGATCAAAATAAGATGTCATAATTGAATAATGCTTGGAGAATGAGTTTGGAAAGAAAATGATGTTTTCTTGGGCATTAACGGTATTATTTTGTTTAATGTATCTGTTGGAATAAAACCAACACGTTAGAAATGGACCTTAAGAGGTTACCGGACGTGAAGTAGACAAGGATTAAACAAACCTCTCGCGTTTCCAAATCTTATTCCCAATTTGTAACGCCCTACACCATTCCTTGAAATTTATATCCCAAATCAAGTTTCATCATCAAAACCACCCAACACAATAACTTTCACACAACCAGGATTTGTGTCTTCCTTGGACCTTACTTCAGCACAATTTGAGTAAAATTCTGGCTTTATAGGTTACTAACTAGAGGGACTTGTAATCTTACTTGGCCAAGTTTTTGAATTTTCACCTTGAAACTTAAAATTCATAAGCACTTCATGAATATTTACATAATTTATATAGTTCAAAACCAAGATTGGATATAGCAATGAATAAGACTATTAGACTCAAGGAATAGTGAAAAATCCTAAAAATAAAAAATAAAAAGCAAAGTCTAGGTTTATGATTTTAGAAGGTCCAAAGAATGACGGACCATATTGGAAATTGTGGATTCCATTTTATATCTTTACAGGTAAAATGTAAGAAAACATGCAGAAGATCATCTTGTCATCACTCCCAAGAAAACACTGAAATTTATAACAATAGAAGTCAGCTAATTATCAACCTGTTTTTTTCCAACAAAATCAATTAACTATAGTTGTTGGTTTCTTTTCTTGTTCTTTTTTTTAATGATAAAAAATAGGAAACTGCCCTTATTCATCCCTTAATATATTACAAATATCAACTGTTCCAAATCATTGGTATATTAAAAAAAAAAAAACCCAAAGAAATAATTGATGTAACTTTCTGGGAAAAAAAAAAAAATAATGCTCCCTCTGTAGCATGCATTATTGGATGTTATTTTTATTGCCTCAAAAATCCAATTTCACCATCATGGAACATTCTTATCTGTGAAAGAAATCCAAATCAAAAGAATAATTGAAAAGCAAACCAAAAGTCGAAGAATTTGGGGAAGAAGGCAAGTATCAATTTTTCGAAACAGAAATTGAGAGAGAGAAGCAGGGGAAGTGAGATACAAAGAAAAAAGGGAACAAACCTATAGGGGCAGACTGAAGCACCGATAGTCTCGCACACAGTAGCAAACGGCACAAACCCAACGATCAACAAACCTATATGCGTGTGTGCGATTTGGTTGGGGGAGAGAACTACGAATTGTG